CATAGACATCAAATAATTATTATTAATAAAAGATACTCGTAAATTTTAAGTTATAATAAATATAATAAGTATTTACTGTTGATTTGGATCTGCCAAGTGGTTTGTCAAATTTCTACGCACATATACAACATCATGTTCATATCTAATTTCTGTGCATGCATCTAAACAATTACAACCATTTGTATAAAAATTTGTAATATTTTTTTTAAAAATTGAATAACCTGGAAACAATTAAACAGCATATTTTTATTATTATTAATTATAAAATAAATACAACATAGTATACAGTATGATTTTGGAGGAAGATACCAAGAAGTTGAGGATAGGAGAAACCACTGTCAATAAGTGGTGATGTGATAGGTGAAGTCGATAACTTTAAATATTTAGGACCATTTGTACAGAAGTACGGGGGGTATAGCATGGATATAAAACAGGATTAAGTGCGATTGGATGAAATTAAGTGTCGCGTGTTTTATGCGATAAGAGTATTCCAATGAGACAGACAAATAAATTTTACAGGAGTGTAGTAAAATCAACTATATGGTTCAGTGTTGGACGATTAACAGGAGAATAGAACAGAGTATGATTTTTGCGGAAATAAGAATGTCTAGATGGACGAATGGAGTGACAATAATATTTACTCTTATCTCCTAATTTTATTTTGAATAAGGAACGATTATGTTAGTGGTAGTATTGGTGTAGCATCTATAGTGAGAAAGATGAGAGAAAATAGACTTAGTTGGTTTGGATATGTGATGAGACGAGAGAAAACAAATGCAGTAAGAGTTGAGATGAAATGTTTTATTGAAGGAAAAAGAGAAATACAAAAACCAAAAAAGAGATGGTTAAATACGATTGAGAATGAGGACTGTTCGTGTTTGTGTAGGGGCAGTAGAAAATCGGGACGAGTGAAGGGTTTGGACAAGAGTAACCGACCCCAAATAGATGAAAGAATGGTGAAGAAGAAGAAAATTATTATTAATTATCATACTATTCGTAACTTTACCGTTATTTGAATACCGACGCACACATGTAATACTTGCTGAACCACAAATTGGAGTATTCATATCTCCTGTAACACGAAGTTAGTATTCTTTACAAGTATTGAATATTACATGGCATACAGATAGCTACTAAGTATCTACTGTAGGTATATGTAGGTATAAGGATTAGGGTAATTTTGTGATATTTTATAACTCCCTCTGTAAAATATAATTATTCTAATACATACATACGAGTTTTGAATTACTGTAATTTATAAAATATTTAAACTCAAAACAATATTGACTTATTAAAATACAATCGTACTTGGATGGTAATAAGCCACACAGCCACACATCTTTAACGAGTGATTAGCTCTACACTCTATTTCACAGTTATTAGCTGTGTATATTTTAAAAAACTTTAAAATCCTTTCATGTTGATAATAACAGTTTCGTGTTTCCGGTTTCCATTGAAAAAGATTTCTCCCTGTTGTTACTATAGTAAACGTTGTTGTTATATGTATTATATTATTGGGAGTAATATAAGCTGTAGGTTGAATACCATCTGACATTTCAACAGGATTATGCAAAAATAACTAAAATATAAAAAAATTGAAATTAAATATACAAACATCAGAAATTACCATAAAAAATATTTTTTAAACTAAATATTTATACTTACAATGACACTTATATATTATACCTATTGTATAAATATATTTTTATAGGAATAACTTATGAATATTTCAGTATTATATAATGAAATACTTGGTATAGTTATCATAAATCTTAATATAAGTTAAGTTTGCTGAAGTAAAAGCAAGAAAGAAAACATTTTCATAAAACTGACAGAACATTTCTTTAAAAATAGATTAAATATTTTTAATGTTGTTAATGCCTCGTTTATATTATTTAATCCAAAAACATGAAATACATATAAAGTGTTTTTAATTTTTTATTACATTTTAGAAAAGTCAAAATTATGCTAACTGGACCTTTGTAAGACCAAGGGGCCAATTTTGCCACGGGCAATCAAAGTGACACCACTGCTACGATGTATTGGAGTATAAGAAGAAATTACACAAGTAATAATTAAAAATCACAAAGTAAATTTACTGTACCTACTTTAACATATTATAATAAATACTTATTAAAAATTATTAGTAGGTAGGTAAAAATAAAAAGAGCTAAGCAATGACATTAAAAAATTAAACAATACCGTCATTCCCGAATCTGTTTGAGGGCAATGATATCCTAAATCATCTTTTTTTAAACTGATTGACATTGAAATTGAATCAAAAACTTTCCATGGTAAATGAAATGATTTTGCATTTTTATTAAAACCATCTTCTGGATTCCACATGGTTTCATTTGCTTTTGTAATAATATCAGCCATAGTGTGATTCACATTCGATAACCTGTATTATTATTTAATAACAAAGTATTATGATTTTTCACAAAATAATAACATTTATATGAACTTACATTTTATTATAGTCATCATTAAGCAATTGTTTGAAGGGAACCATATTCATTGAATAACAAATGCCAAAAGGTGTATATATTGGTTGAAAATACCGACATGGTATATACATTTTTTCTCGAATCCAAGTTATTGATATAACTCGCTGTTCACATAAAATTCTATGGTTCTAAAAAAAAAATGTCATATTTAGAGGCAATAGGCCAACAAAAATACTTCAATGATTTACATAACGCTCATGTATATAGGTACCTATAAAACAGTGCTTCTCAACCTTTCTCAAACTGCCCCCCCCGCCATAAGAAGCAAAATGTTTTTCAACGCCCCCTCACCACTCCATCACTTCATTAAAATTAAAATTAAAATAGTATTCATGAAAAGTATATAATTGAGTAATAAATAATATATATATAAATGTAAAATTTATATTTAAATATAATTTAAAAGGATAATTTAAATGTTCTTGATAATGTAAAGCCAATTTTTTTACGTTTGGTTCAAAATTTGTGAGATGAAAGGAGCCTCCTCTTTTGACGATGTCGAGTCAATTTCTTTTTTTCGTTATTAGATAATAACGCACTGTTTCTGGTATATGTAGTTAATATTTCATAATCACGAATTTATGTTAGAAATCGATAAATGGGAAACAATTATAGATAAATCTTGGTGCCTTGCTTTGAACAGAAAAAAGTTCACCACCCTTTTATCGCCCAAAACGAGCTCACCCCCCCCCCCACCACCCGAAACGAACTCAATGCTTCGTAGTACGCCTTCACCACCCACCGGGGAGGGATATCGCCCCCTTTGAGGAGCACTGCTATAAAGCAACATACAATAAAATTTATACCTAAATTTATAGCTACAATGAAGTTATCTGAAGAGATTATTCAAAATGCTGATTTGAAACATGACACGTTTGAACGAAGAGTCTTTGAAAGACTTTTTTTTTTTTGTTATCATCCCATTACCGGGTTAAAGCATGATTTATTTCAATGAACCAAGGCTTAATAAGCCCAACATCATCCAAAAACATTTTAATTTTATTAAAAAAAACTGTGTTTATGAAGTAAAGTAATTGTATTGGTGCAGTCGTATTTTTAACATGTTATTTTATTTAAAAACAATAAGTGCGTCAATACAAATTACAATAATATACGAAATTGCGGAACAAAAATTATAAATCAGTTACTATAACATTTAAGCACTTCTCCCTAGTTAAATATTTATTTTAATTTCACAGTTAAGAACCTAAGTAAAATAAATAATTAGAACGACTTATGACTTATTTTTTAAATGGTATTGTTAATTATATTATTCTTCTTCTTCTTCTTCTGACTTAATCTATTCTACAAGAGTTTTTGCCGCCAACACGACTTCACGCCACTTCTCTCTATCATGTATTATATTTCTCCAACTATTCACTCCCATCCTTTTTAAATCTTCCTCGACCACATCCATCCATCTTTTCCTCGGGCGTCCTGGTGGTCTCTTGCCCGTCGGTTTCCAAGACATTACTGTTTTAATTATCTTCAAATCGCTTCCACGCATAATGTGCCCAAAACACTGGATTCTTTGGCCTCTGATGTGATATTTAATTGGAGTCATTTCTGTTTCTGCAATTAGTTCTTTGTTAAACTTTCTCCTCCACATACCACTGTTCGCGTCTAATTTGGGTCCACATATCATACGCCATATCCTGTTTTCGAACGTAGTAAGCCTTCGTTCTGTTACGCTACTAGTTGTCCATGCTTCGCATCCATATGTTAGTATAACTTTTGTCTTCTTTGACAGTATTTTAGATTTAAAAAATTTTGATAATGCAAAAGACGCCTTCCCTGCTTTTATTATCCTTAATCCGATTTCTTGTGACCAGTCATTCTTCGTATTTATACATACGCTAAGGTATTTAAACTCATTAACTTTTTCATATATCCAGTCATCCGGGTCAGGGTTCGTTGAGTCTGCATCCGTGTCTAATAGCTCCATGATCTTTGTCTTTTCTACGTTTATTTTTAATCCTATTTTGTCTGCTGATTTTTCTAAAACTTTCGCTGCTTTCTCTGTATCATCTCTAGTATTGCCTATGATGTTAAGATCATCAGCGAAACCTAGGATTTGAATTTTTTGTTGGTTTATTTCTACACCCGTTGTCTTTTTTTTGCATCTCTCTGACCGCTTTCTCTAGAGCTAGGTTAAACAATAGTGGAGACAACGCATCCCCTTGTTTCAGCCCTGTTTCCACTGTAAATGTTTCGGAGATTGTCTGATCTACCCTGATTTGATAATGTGTTCCTTCCATACACATCCTGACTAAGTTTCTAAGCTTCTTCGGTATTCCAAATTCAGTCATTACGTTGTACAGGCTCTCTCGATGAACGCTATCATAGGCTTTTTTTAAAGTCTATAAATATCTGCCAAAGGTTTTGTCGAAATTCATATTTCTTTTCTATGATCTAACCTATAATTGCAATTTGTTCAATAGTTTATCTCCCCTTCCTAAAACCACATTGATATTCACCTAGGTTTTCTTCTATCTAAGGACTTATGCGGTTCAGTAACACTTTGGAGAATATTTTATATGCTGAATTTAGGAGCGATATTCCTCTGTAGTTACCACATTTAGTTTTATCACCTTTCTTGTGAATGGGTATAATTACTGCCTTTTTCCAGTCTTCGGACATTTGTTCTTCTTTCCAGATCTTTTGGCATATTTCGAAGATAACCTTGTGCATTTCTTCACCACCGTATTTGATAAGCTCAGCCGGTATTTCATCAGATTCTGGTGCTTTCCAGTTCTTTAGACTGTTGATAGCAGTCTTGACTTCCTCCAATGTTATTTCACTAATCATTGATTCCGCTGTTTGATATTGTGTGTTTCCTATTGGATTCACCGGTATTTCCGCATTAAGAAGATATATGAAGTACTCCTTCCATCTTTTAACTCTATCACTGGATTCTATAAGCATATCTCCATTTCTACCCTTTATTGCCTTTAGGGTTGGGTTGAAATCCTTGTACCGTCCAATAGTCTTGAAGAAGTTTCTAATTTTTCCTTGCAAGCGATCTTTTTCAGCTTCTTCTAAAATCTCATTAATGAACTTTCTTTTTTCTCTCTGTAATATTCTTTCACAGTTTTTCTTTTCATTGAGGAACATACCTTTCGCATCCTGATTCCCAGATCTTATAAAATCTGATCTTGCTATACGTCTTTTTTCTACGGCTTCTCTACATTCCTCATTATACCATTTATTTTTCTTACCCTTATTTCCATTTTGTACTACACCGATGCTTCGTTCCGCTGTTTCTTTTATGACGAGACTGATCTTGTTCCAATCCGTTTCTATATTCCCAGCTCTCCTATAGTTCAGGTGTCTATCAATACTATCTGCATATTTTTTTTTTCTAATATTTTCATTTTTCAATAGGTCTACGTTGAATTTTGCACCTTTCTTCTCTTTTAGGCTTTTCATGCCTTGTAATTTGAGCTTGAATTTCGATATCAACAGGAAGTGATCTGTGTCGATATCCGCTCCTCTGTAGCTTCTTATGTCCTTAATGCTGGAACGAAATCTATTCTCAATTAATATATGATCATTCTGATTGAGCGTATTTCCATCCGGAGACTTTCTTGTAGCTTTATCTATATTTTTGTAGGGGAATGTCGTACTTTTCACGCTGCGAAGGAGATGAGTCGTAATCCGTTTCTATTACTTATGGCATGTAGGCTTTCTTTTCCTATTGTCGGAGCATATTGTGGTTCTCTCCCACATTTAGCATTTAAGTCTTCCAACAAAATTTTGATGATATTCCCATGTAAACTATCCCATGTTTCATCCAATTTGTTATAGAACTCATCTTTTACTTCATCTTCACTCGTTCCCGTCGGGGCGTGCACGCATACTAACATGATGTTAAGTGGTTTCGTATTTAGTTTTAGACATGCCATTCTCTCTGATATTGGGATAAACTCCTTGACATATGTTTCTAATTTTTCGTGTACTGCAAAACCACTTCCAAAATGATGTCTATCTGTTAATCCTGAAAAGTAAACTATATAATGTCCGACTTTAATTTGTCCTATTGCCGTCCATCTAATCTCTTGTAGGGCAGCTATATCAATACTGTATACATCTAGTGTTTCTGCAAGTTCTGGCATGCGCCATGGCGCGCCAGTTCTAAAAAGGCTTGTTGTGTTCCATGTTGCAATCTTTAACTCTGCTGACCGTATTCCGTTTCCAGTATTTAATCCATTTATCCGTGTCCGAGGCTTGGTTTGTGATGGTATCATAACAATATTTTTTTTTCCGAGGAAGGGTTGTTAGCTCTTCGCTCAACCCCCAACCTGGAGGACCAGACTACCCGAACCAATTAAGGTCAGGGTAGGGCTATTGCGGTGTACCTATTCAGATGCATCGGGCGATGGGGACACCACTTTCCCTACGCCTATAAGTATATAAGTATATAAGTATATAAGTATACAAGTATATAATTATATTATACGTTTAATATAATTTTAGACAGTACAATTAATTATCTAAATTAAATTATTTAGTATTATTATTATTGTATTATGCATGCAATTAACTAAAATATTGCTTTAAAATCAAAACCTTACATTAAGTAATAAATTCCATGTTTTTGGGTTAATAAAATGTTGATCGCTATTTTTATAATTATTTTCATCGTGACAAATTAAGTTTATGCTATCTTTGTAGTCTCTATACCTGAAAAACAAATTACGTACATGATTTTATAGTTATAAAATAATTAATAGGTAAATTATTTTATCAATACTCTTTAAGCGTTTTATTGTTAATTGTTTTATGCTCAAGATTTTGCAATTGTAGATCGCTACATAATGTAATTCCAGGAAATGGTATTTCTGAGTGTGTCAAATGCAACTCATTACTTTCTCTCAACAGTGTGATAATTTCACTTTCCATCCAATCATTGTAAAGTTGTTTTGTTTGATATCCACACGTTAGAAACACCAGTGATAAAACAAAAATCCAAAATATCCTGATAAATTAAAATATTTTAATAATTACTAGAGCGCGGATTTGTATGCAATGGCATATGTATTTTGGTTTATTGTATAATATGCTAAGTGAGCACGAAATTTGTTTCTTGGCATAACGATTTAAACAATGACATTTTTTTTAGTGCATATTTTGCATATTTTGTCGTTTTTAATTTTTAAGAGCTTATTTAACAATTTTAATTGCATATTTCATCTTAGAGTGCATATTTTGGTGTTAGTTTGATTTTTAAACATATTTAAAGTAATAAACTCATAACTGTTACAAAAAAATATATAAACAAATATCTTTTACGAAGAAAATCTTATCGCTCTCAGATTTTGTGGGAAATCCCGTTAATCGGTCTGGTGTGTCATATTTCATTTTATTGTGTGTAGAGTCTCGGCCCTTAGATTAATAACTTTATCGGTGAAATAATCAAATAATATATACGAATACTAAGAAAATATCAGTTAAGATATCAGACCAATAATATTATTTCATTCTGAAAAATATTTAGTATCAACCGTGTGTTCGTGTCTGTCGTAGTGCGAGTCTTTGTGTATTATATTTTTTCAAGATGCCGAAAGAAAAATCGTCTTTATCGAGTCATCTTCGTAGTTATGTGCGTGAATTTGGCGAGAATATTTTTTCAACCGATGGTCAAGTAATACTGTGCAAATTATGTGAAGTAAAAGTTGGCCACGATAAACGATATTCAATTACACAACATATTAAAACTGAAAAGCATTTAAAATCTGTAAGTTTGAGCCAGACTAAAAAACAAAATGTTCAAAGTTTACTCATTAATTAATACAGTATTGAATAAAGATCCATTTTGTGTAGATTTATGCAAAGCACTGGTTTCGGCAAATATTCCGCTAAAAAAACTTAACGATACACATTTCAAATCATTTTTGGAAAAATATACTCTCAAAAAAATACCCGATGAATCAACAATTCGTAAAAATTATTTAAATAATTGTTATAATGAAACAATGAATAAAATTCGTAATAAAGTCGAAAGAAAAAAGGTGTGGTTGTCAATAGACGAAACTACAGATATTGAAGGGCGATATGTCGCCAATGTCACCATCGGAACATTAGAATCTGATGGTCCAGATACAACGATGTTATTAAATTCTGAAGTTTTGAACAAGGCAAATTACTCCACTATTTCAAAACTATTTGAAAAATCTCTAAATTTATTGTGGCCTGAAGGTATACAACATGATTCTGTACTGTTATTTTTGAGTGATGCTGCGCCGTATATGGTAAAAGCAGCCGGTGCAATAAAGGCATTTTTCTCTAAAATACTCCATATTACTTGCTTAGCTCATGGATTACATCTTACAGCTGAAGAAGTAAGGAAATGTTTTCCGAATGTGGACAAACTTATATAAAATGTTAAGAAAATTTTTTTAAAATCTCCTTATCGCGTTGCTTTTTTTTAAAAATGAAGCACCTGGTCTGCCTCTACTGCCAGAACCCGCCAGAACCGATCATCACTCGTTAGGGGACATGGCTAAACGCTGCTATATATTATTGTGAAAACATAGAACAAATTCGTAGTATTGTCAAGCAGTTAAACCCAGATAATGCAATTTCAATTCAAATGGCCCAAGATGTTTTAGCGGACAAATCATTGGATACGAATTTAATATATATAAAATCTAATTTTGGATTTTTACCCGAAACAATTAAATTTCTAGAAAAATCGGGAGTTCCTTTGAATGATGCTATCACTTTGATTGAAAACACAAAAATATCTCTTAAAAAATGTAACGGACAAAAGGGTAAACCTGTTTATGAAAAATTTAAAAAAATTCTATCAAAAAACGAAGGCTTCGATACACTAAATAAAATATCAAAAATTTTAAATGGAGAAAGTGAATCAATTGAACTCTGAGAAGATTTATCTCCAAATGATTTGACATTTTTTAAATACGCACCAATCACTTCAACAGATGCAGAGCGGTCATTTTCGAGGTATAAAAATTTATTGACTGACTAACGTAGATCAATGTTATTTGAAAATATTGCTAAAATAATTGTCATACAGTGCAATTCAAATTTAGGTAGGTACCTGAGTAAATTTCTTTTGAGATACATTTTTAATATTATTGATTCCGATTTTTTCTTATAGATTAAAACTCAAAAAAATGGACAGGAAATCAAGATTCAAGAAATTAAAAAAAATTATTTTTACAACAAATGTAATCATTTAAATTAATTATTATAATAATAATTTATTATTATTTTATGCAAAATACATATAATTTTTGGTGCATATTTTTTTTTATGCATGCATATTTAAACATTTTAGTGCATATATTAATGCATATTTAAGATTTTTTAACGCATATTTAGTAGATTTTAAGACATATAAATCCGCGCTCTAATAATTACCAATAACATTACACATGTTATATTTGCAATGCATACCTATTGTCAATGGCGCCCATATGGAAGGAAGGCAAGGAGGGGGACATTCCTCCCCTGGAAAATGTCAAAAATCTTGTTAAATTGTTTACTATGATCAGAATATATTTATATAAATAGAATTTAAAAATTTAATTTAATATATAATAATCTATAATTTGCTTATGAAAAATCTATTTATTTAGTTTGGAAAAACAGATTATCAACTATAAATAACTATAGGCTTTTTCATTTCTATTCTATGGATAATTATCAATTCTTAAAATATTGTGTATTTCCAAAAATACGGAAATACGGTATGTATATGTTTATGTGTACACCACCATAATATTTATACATATAATATTTGTAAATTAATATTTTAATAAATATTGCTAATGTTTTAAGTGTCCAATTTATATTATTAATTAAATAAAAATTTCAATAAATTACTTTTATGGTAAATTGGTTAAATAATTATTATTTTATAGTCTTCCAGTTTGATATATATAATGTAATAGTATAATGTAAAATTGTAAATACCTCCCTATATCGTGGGTTATTCCTATTTATGAATAGATTGATAAATAAAAATGTTGTCCCCCCTCCTTAAGAATTTTCTTATGGGTGCCCTTGCCTATTGTGCATAGTAGCCAACCGATAACTAGTCGGGGATTTAAGGAGCCTAATGTTTTAAATTATAACTTAAAATTATCCTCCATGATCCAAAATAGCATCAATTATTTAAAAATATATATATATATATATTCAACTTACAATAATAATAAAGTTGGCGGTATGTGAAGTTTGCCCACCGGTATTCGGTATGTGTTTACATACCGGTTTTTAACGGTATACCGATATGTCGGCATATATCAATAAATACCGTGTAGACGATAAATACCACTCGTTCGGTAATTACCGGTCACTCGGTAATAATCGCTCGCTCAGTATATTCTGCTCGTTCTGTACATACTGCCCACTCAGTAAATGCCATTTAAACAATAAATAACTCTAATACCGTTTTTTAAGCGACAAATTGATAAAATATCGTTGAGATTTGAGATAATATATAATTTTATTATTATTTATGATCCCAAGAATAGGAGCCCCACTATATGTCCAATTGTGTTTTCAGTGATTTATCTTATGATAATCAGATAATATAATTTAAAATGAGCTGGTGGAGTTTGGTGTGCCACTCTCATTGGTTATAGTTGTTTTTTTATTCCTTAGTCGGTCTACATGAATAGTTCATAATAAACAATGCCGTGCCTAGCATAATCAGCGCCCGGGGCGAAGAATAATTTCTAGAATCCCCACCTCCTCTACCAAATATTTTTATACTTGTAAAAACATTAGGGAAGAGCCGGAGATAGAATCGTCAGATTTACCTTATTTTTCACATTAAACATTTTTGTCGACATGTAAATTGTACAAACACATCTAAAGATGATATGTAAACAAGGAGAGAGCCTTTTTTTAAATATATTTTGTGAATAATATTGACAATTGCAATAGTATTAATAATTATTATACATTTTATTTGAACTCAGAAATTCACCAAATCTGTATAATATATAATATAATAGTTATAACTTATAAGTATGAAATAGTATAAACATGTTATTAAAATAGCTGATAATGTTTGAAGTAAATAGTATTTAAGTTAATATGTTAATCAAAATAAAAAAATCGCATCACTGAGTTAATTATTTTTATTTAGGTTACAAGTATTAAAAATGTATATTATCTTAATTCTTAATTTAATATTACTAAAATTTTGAATGGATTTATAGTAAATAGTCTTAATAAAATACCATAACAATTAAGTTTTTAAAATATAATA